AATCTTGGCTTTGAATATTCCAGGCGCATGGGGAGTCGACGATCTTGAGAAAAATAAGAGAAAGGAGAAGAAAAGTAGAAAACAGTAAGAGAAGTAAACATGTAGTCAATACATGTGAAGCTTCCAGCTCTCCTTGTGGTCTCTTTCTCTGCCGATTTTGCTGCTATTTTCTCCTGGGGTCCAGTTCTCCTTGGTCCTTCATTGTCCTCGTGGGTCCTTTTGGGTCTGTCCTCTGCTCTGCCTGTGGTGGTTGTGCTGGGCCTGCCGGTGCGTGCTGAGGCATCTTTAGTTCTGAGCCCTCCAGCAGACAGCTCTCTCCCGCTATCACAGGGGGGTGGTGGAGCGGCCGCAACGGATCCAGGCAGGCGAGATAGTGTTGCGCTGCTCCCTCCTTCATTGAGGAATGTAACAAGAGGGGAAAAAGCCCAGGACACAGCCATGGCTCGTCTGGAAGGTCTGAATGGGCAACTGAGTGGCCATTGAGAAACTGAGTGATGAGTGGAGGAACACCATCCTGAGGGATCCCACTCACAATTGGATCGGCAAGATGGATCTATTGCTCAGATGGTCCCGCAACCTGGAGACATGAAGTGACCTTCTTTGCCTCCGCCAGCTGTGAGTACTGTTGTGAATACTGCTGTTACAATGTCTACTCCGGTGGGGGGGAGACAGCTGAGGGGGATCAAGATCCCACACTGTGAGATGTATTTTTTACAGGTACAACAATGCTTTTTGTCTCTCTCTCTACTTACTGGGCAAGTGCAGGTTATATGTGAAGATAAAACCCTATCAAGATCTTCAAAAAGTGGAAGAATGCACAGCGGCTCTTGAAAATCGAGTCAGTGACATACAGGATACTGTTTCACCCCTTGCTATTGAGGTAAAAGAGGTTACGCACAAGTTAACCACTTGTCCTCCTGAGGATTTACCCCCCCTCCTGACCAGGCCATTTTTGTGCGTTATGGCGCTACGTTAATTTAACTGACAATTGCGCGGTTATGCAACACTGCTCTTTTTCCCAAGAATTGAGCTTTCTTTCGGTGGTATTTGATCGCCTGTGCGGTTTTTATTCTTTTGTGCTATAAAAAAAAAGACCAACAATTTAAAAAAAAAAAACAATATTTTTGACTTTTTCCTATTAAACATATCCAGTAAAAAAATTTTAAAAAATTAAATTTCATCATAAATTTACGCCAAAATTTATTCTGCTACGTGTTCAAATTCAAATTAATTAGCTTACATGAAAGTTATAGCGCTTGCAAATGGCGGTATATATATTGGGATTTTTAATTTTTATTTTTACTAGTAAAGGCGGCGATTAGCGATTTATAGCTGGACTGCGGTGGACAGTCTGACACTGGGGCGAACTGACTTGGTGTCACTGGGGATGATCAGTGCTAAAAAAAAAAGCACTTACACTGTACTAAGGGCACTGGGCAGGAAGGGGTTAACACGAGAGGTTATCAAAGGGTTAACTGTGTGCAGGGAGTGTTTTACTAGGAGGCGGTGTCTGTATGCTTCACTGTAATCACACTGCTCTGGATGGCTGTGCTATGCTAGGGTCTATGCTGTACCCTGCTCACCTTCAGGTGGTCAATGATGGCTGTGTGCAATGTTTTGAGTCGCCATAGGCGGCACAGGACTGCTTGGACTGTCATTTCAATTCCTAAATTAAAAATTGCTTTGATGTCTGTTTTATTAATTATTTGAAGCTATGTATTGTTCTCCCCAATGAGGTGATAGGGGAGCAGAGAGGGAGGGGTAAGGAGTAGTAATATTTTTTATTCCCCCACACTTTTCCTACCTCTCTAGATAAGTTGAATAGCCTCAAAGAGAGGAAAAATAAAAGGAATACTCTCCTGTTATGATACGATGCTGGAATTGAAACTCAACCAGCAGGTAGCCATTATATGAATTTCTGTAGCGGTTTCCTGCATGGAGTCGTGTTTTTGTTTTTCAGCAGATGCCTTATCTATTTGTTTTTGGGCATCTGCTTCTGTTTTTGTAATGCTTCATGTTTTGTAACATTTTTTTTTCTCTCCTCTTTTTCCACTTTTGCTATATGCAGAATCAGTTTATATTTGGCTCTGTTTATTTATCCACAGATGGGGACATATTTACTGGTATAACTGGGCCAGTTGGTACATTTTATTGATTATTTGAAATTATGGTTAACCAATTTATACGTGTTTTATCATGGAACAATCCTAAAAATGCAATCTGTTTTTTGAGTATATTGCCACTTTTGATTTGTCTGCAGGAGATGCATGCCACCCATGATACCATAACACTCTCGCAAAGTTGCTTTATACAAGAGGCTTATCATTCTGTGTATACCTCTCCTTTGAGGGGTGTGTCCTTTTTAGTATATATGGGCATGACGGTCTCGTACAGTAGGACCTTGGTAGACAAAAATGGCAAGTATGGTTTTTCTCCAGTGTAAGATACAGTATATGATCTTGATTTGATTTTTGCTGCCTTTTGTGGGGGCTTCTCCCTTAGCACCAATTCTAGTGCTTAGAGACTTTAATAATGTAATTGACCTAAGGTGGGACAGATTTCCAGCTCCTAGATCTGTCCTTGCTGAAGGTCTTTCCTCTCTGGGGAGACTTTTGGGAATTGGGGTAGCAAGATACAAGGAGACATTCCCATCCTGATGAAAGTGCCTATATGTGTTATTCTAAATCTCATAACTCCTTGTCCAGAATTGACTTAGTTTTTTGTTCTACACAAATATCCCAACTCTAATAGAGGTCAATATAGAACCCATATCTGATCACTCTCCCTTGTTAGTACTTTAATATCTGGCCATCCAAAACCTAATATTCCATGGCAATTGAATCCTTTTTGGTTGGATTTGTTCCCCAAAGAAGATCTCTTGCCTTCCTCTATTGAGGTGTTTTTTTTCCCTTAATGCAGGCTCTACTTCCTCATGGGTGGTATGGGATGCCTTTAAGACTTTCCTCTGAGGTTTTGTTAACCGCTTGCCTACAGGGCACTTATACACCCTTCCTGCCCAGGCCAATTTCCAGCTCTCAGCGCTGTCACACTTTGAATGACAATTGCGCGGTCATGCAACACTGTACCCATATGAAATTTTTATCATTTTTTTTGTGACAGATAGAGCTTTATTTTGGTGGTATTTAATCACCTCTGGGTTTTTTATTTTTTTCTTAAACAAACCAAAAACCACTGAGATTTTAAACAAATTACGTTTTTTCTTAGTTTTTGTTATACAGTTGCAAGAAAAAGTATGTGAACCCCTTGGGATTACGTGGAATTTTGCATGAATTGGGCATAAAATGTGCTCTGAACGTCATCTAAGTCACAACAATAGAAGAACACACCGTCTGCTGAACATAATACTACACAAACATTAGATGTTGCCATGGTTTAATTGCACATAACATGTAAACATTCACAGTGCAGGGAGGAAAAAGTATGTGAACCTTTGGACTTAATAACTGGTTAACCCTCCTTTGGCAGCAATAACCTCAACCAAACGTTTCCTGTAGTTGCAGATCACACCTGCACAACAATCTGGAGTAATTTTGGACCACTCCTCTTCACAAAACTGTTTCAGTGTAGCAATATTCTTGGGATGTCTGGTGTGAATCGCTCTCTTAAGGTCATGCCACAGCATTTCAATCGGGTTGAGGTCAGGACTCTGACTGGGCCACTCCAGAAGGTGTATTCTGTGCTGTTGCAGCCATTGTTTTGTTGAATTACTTGTATGCTTTGGGTCATTGTCCTGTTGCATCACCCATCCTCTGCGGAGCTTCAGTTGGCGGACAGATGGTCATACGTTTTCCTGCAAAATGTCGTGATAAACTCTGGAATTCATTTTCCCATCAAAGACAACAATCCGTCCAGGCCCTGAGGCAGCAAAGCGGCCCCAAACCATGATGCTCTCTCCGTCATGTTTTACAGTGGGGATCAGGTTTTGATGTTGGTGTGCTGTGCCTTTTTTTCTCCACACATAGTGTTGTGTGTTCTTCCCAAACAACTCAATCTTGGTTTCATCTGTCCACAGTATATTTTGCCAGTAGTGCTGTGGAACATCCAGGTGCTCTTTTGCAAACTTCAAATGTGCTGCAATATTCTTTTTGGACAGCAATGGCTTCCTCCGTGGTGTCCTCCCATGTACTCCATTCCTGTTTGATGTTTTCCTTATTGTAGATGTGTCAACAAAAATGTTAGCATGTGCCAGAGATTTCTGTAGGTCTTTAGCTGACACTCTGGGATTCTTCTTTACCTCATGCAGCATTCTGCGCTGTGCTCTTGCAGTCATTTTTACATGACGACCATGCCTAGGGAGAGTAGCAACAGTGTTAAACTTTCTCCATTTGTAGACAGTCTGTCTTACCATGGACACATGAACATCAAGGCTTTTGGAGATACTTTTGTAACCCTTTCCAGCTTCATGCAAGTCAACAATTCTTGATCGTAGGTCTTCTGAGAGCTCTTTTCTGCGAGGCATGGTTCACATCAGACAGTGCTTCTTGAAACCAGTAAACCCAAAACAGGTGTGTGTTTTTTAAGGGCAGGACAGCTGTCAGCAACACATCCAATATCATCACACTGATTGGAGTCAAGGTTAGCTCACTCCTGGCTCCAATTAGCTCTGGGAGAAGTCATTGAGCTAGGGCCTCACATACTTTTTCCTCCCTGCACTGTGAATGTTTACATGTTATGTGCAATTAAACCATGGCAACATCTAATGTTTGTGTAGTATTATGTTCAGCAGACAGTGTTCTTCTATTGTTGTGACTTAGATGACGTTCAGAGCACATTTTATGCCCAATTCATGCAAAACTCCACGTAATCCCAAGGGGTTCACATACTTTTTCTTGCAACTGTACAATTTTGTAAATAAGTGATTTTTCTCCTTCACTGATGTGCGTTAATGAGGCTGCACTGATGGACACTGATAGGTGGCATGGTGAGGAGGCACTGGTTGGCAGCACTGACAGGCACTGATAGGCTGCACTGATGCACACTGATAGGCGGCACTGACAGGCGGCACTGATTGGCAGCACTGATAGGTGGCACTGATTGGCATTGATAGGTGGCACTGAAAGGCAGCTCAGATGGACACTGATATGTGGCATGGATGTGCACTGGTAGGCACTGATATGTGGCACTGATGTGGCATTGATGTGCACTGGTACGTGGCACTGTTCATCACAGACAACGGGCACTGATGGACACTGACAGGTGGCACTTCTGGGGCCACACTGATCATCAGTGCCCTGATGATCAGTGTAGATGTCCCCTTCGCGGAATGCCGATTACCAGCTCTCCTCTCAAGCTGTCAGCGTGACAGCTTGTGAGGAGAGAAATGCAGATAACCAGCATTTCCCTGTTTACATGTGATCAGCTGTGATTGGACACAGTTGATCACATGACCGAGCCAACATCTTCGGCTTTTTCCGTGGATCGGTGATCCGCTGTGTCGGAGGGACACAGCGCACCGCCGATCGCCACATGCTCCCTGAGCCGCTCAGGCGTGGTGAGAATGGGAGGACGTCATATGATGTCCTCCCAGAACGAGAGAACCACCTTGCGCCCGTCAATTTACAGAGCGACATTATTGGACCAATTATGTACCTGGTTCAACCCCTCCCCAGAGAAACAATGGGTATATATAGAACAAGATCTAATAGGTAATAAAGATCTCACTGTCTTTTTGTTGGCGGCTGCCACTGGCTTCCCACTGCATATTGTGGACCATCCATCTATCACGGCATCCCTAAAGGCGTAGCAATACCTGATAGGGATTCCATCAAAAAATAAGCACATTGTGGAGACTTAATTACCACTAAAAGCTGATGACTTTTTGATCCTCTGCTTCTCCACGATAGTGTGGACAGATGAGGATTTTCTACACTTAAGAACTTAACTATTGAAATTTAACAAGCCCATAAAATAATTCAAATTACTCACTTTCATAATACATTTTTAAAGCCATCGGTAGTTTTGGATAAAAAAGTATGGGATTATTATCATAATTCAGTGGTGTTTAAAGGGGGGAATTTCGGGGGGGCGTGTCTGACTGGCTGTGTGGATGGTAGCTTCCTGCTAGAGCACCTCTGCTTCTCCAGCTACCTTAGCACATTGACATTAAGGGCGATAGTTAGCCCAGCTAGCCTGGCGCAGTCTCCTCATCATCCGGGCAATATGCCCCGACATCATAAATCACCTAGTCAGCCACAAAAGCTGACTGACTTCTACCAGGCTCGGGGATCGAGCAGCCAAGATGGTGCTGACGGCGCTCAGAGTGGCCCTTCAAAACATAATGAGGGTCAAAGCTCCTACATACCGGACCCCAGACTCTCCATTCCCTTATACTGTATGATGGTGACCCTGGTGAGTCCTCACCTCCTCTATCCCCATCCTCATGCAGCCCAGTGAAATCCAAGCCCATGATGGCAGAGTCCTCCTACACTTTAACAGAACAAGCATCTCTCCCTTCCCCTATGCCTGCCTTACAGCTGAACTCTGCCATAGAAACTTTCCCTGCCACTGATCAACCAGTGTCTGAACTGACCATGAAAAACATGCTGTTATCTTTGAGACAGACTCTGCATAATGATTTATCAGCAGTGATAGCTCCGATATCTAACACTGTACAAGAACATGAGCAACGTCTGCACCATGTTGAAACCAAAATGGGCAAAATGTTCATGGCTCATAATGAAATAGTGGACACTCACATAGACCATGAAACAGAGCTGCAGCAATTAAAACTCAAAATAGCAGACTTGAAGACCATTCAAGAAGGAATAACATTAAATTCTGTGGCATTCCTGAATTGAGGCCTCCTGATGCGTTGGTTCCTTACCTTCAACAATTAATGAAGCATTTCCTCTTATCGCTTAATGATCTAGAAATAGCCATCAACAGAGCTCACAGAATCCCGAAACCGGCTTTTTTGCCCGTGTAAGTCCCTAGAGTTATATTGGTATGGATACACTTTTACCATATCAAGGAGAAACTTATATCTGTGGCAAGGAACCCGTCTGCACTTTCAGCCTCACATACAGATATGAAATTATACGCTGACTTATCCAAAGTGACGTTGCTCAATAGAAAGAAGCTGATCTCCATCACTAAGGCACTAATGGCATTGGATACCAGTGCGGGTTCCCACTAAACTCACAATTAAGTGACAGGAAAAAACCTTCACAATCTGGAGTCTGGAAGCAGGTCTTAATCTCCTCACAGAATGGCATATTTTACCTGCAGAGGACCATTCACGTTCTCCGCACCAACCTCACCACATGGAAGCGGAATGGAACCGACTACAATCCCTGCAACCTTGAGATGACCCTACCCACTATTTTCCTTGTACTTGTAGCTGGAGTACCTCGGCCTTAACCCAGGAAATTCTACGTAAACAAGTAATGCACCACCATAACAACCTGTTGTTGCTATGGTTGTTCTACTCCCCCCAGTCATCAGTAGCATTATATGCCGCCCATTTCTCTTGCACTTTCAGCAAAAACTCTTTATTTTCTTTTTGTTGTTTTTCTTATTTGTATTACCAGTCCCAAATACTCCAACATCCTCTACAATCTCTCTGGCAATCCTACTCACACAAGTCATTTATACGAGACCTCATCCTACCCTCCTGGACCATAGCTCCTCTATTCCCACCACTGGCACTCACTATCACCATTGCTATAACACTTTCCTTGAACCATACGGTATTATGAATACAAATTGAAAAGATTCCCAGCTACTATGCTCCCCCATCTCTATATATTACTATGGCATTTAAAATGGTATCACTCAATGTAAGGGCCTTAATTCCCCATACAAAATATCATCACTACTCAGAGAAGCTCAATCACTTCAAGCTGATTTTCTCTTTATCCAGGAAACGCACTTTGCTGGATCCAAGACACCTCATTTCATTTTGAAATATTTCCCTACTTTATTCCTAGCCACAAATACCAAAAAGAAGAATGGAGTTTTGATAGCTATACAGTGCCTTGAAAAAATATTCATACCGCTTGAAATTTTCTACATTTTGTCATGTTACAACCAAAAATGTAATTGTATTTTATTGGGACTTTATGTGATAAACCAGCACAAAGTGGCGCATAATTGTGAAGTGGAAGGAAAATGATAAATGGTTTTCAAAATTTTTTACAAATACTGTAAATATGTGAAAAGTGTGGCGTGCATTTGTATTCAGCCCCCTTGAGTCAATACTTTGTAGAACCACCTTACGCTGCAATTACAGCTGGAAGTCTTTTTGGGGATATCTCTACTGACTTTGCACATCTAGAGAGTGACATTTTTACCCATTCTTCTTTGCAAAATAGCTCAAGCTCTGTCAGATTGGACTGAGAGTGTCTGTTAACAGCAATTTTCAAGTTTTGCCACAAATTCTCAATTGGATTTAGGTCTGGACTTTGACTGGACCATTCTAACACATGGATATGCTTTGATCTAAACCATTCCATTGCAGCTCTGACTGTATGTTAAGGGTTGTTTTCCTGCTGGAAGGTGAACCTCCACCCCAGTCTGAAGTCTTTGGCAGACTCTAACAGGTTTTCTTCTAAGATTGCCCTGTATTTGGCTCCATCCATCTTCCCATCAACTCTGTTGAAGGCTTCCCTTTCCCTGCTGAAGAAAAGCATCCCCAAAACATGATGCTGCCAACACCATGTTTCACGGATGGTGTGTTCAGAGTGATGTGCAGTATTAGTTTTTCACCACATATATCGGTTTGCTTTTAGGCCAAAAAGTTCAATTTGGTCTCATCTGACCAGAGCACCTTCTTCCACATGTTTGCTGTGTTCCTCACATGGCTTCTCGCAAATTGCAAACTGGATTTTTTATGGCTTTCTTCTTGCCACTCTTCCATAAAGGCCAGATTTGGTGAGTGCATGACTAATAGTTGTTCTGTGGACAGATTCTCTCACTTGAGCTGTGGATCTCTGCAGCTCCTCCAGAGTTACCATGGGCCTCTTGGCTGCTTCTCTAATTAATGCTCTCCTTGCCCTGCCTGTCAGTTTAAGTGGACGACAATGTCTTGGTAGGTTTGCAGTTGTGCCATATTCTTTCCATTTTCAGATGATGGATTGAACAGTGCTCCGTAAGATGTTCAAAGCTTGGGATAGGTTTTTTATAACCTAATCCTGCATTAAATTTCTCCACAAGTGTATTCCTGACCTGTCTGATGTATTCCTTGGCCTCCATAGTGCTGTGTGTTCACTAATGTTCTCTAACAAACCTCTGAGGGCTTCACAGAACAGCTGTATTTATACTGAGATTAAATTGCACACAGGACTATTTACTAATTAGGTGACTTCTGAAGGCAATTGGTTCCACTAGATTTTAGTCAGGGCATCAGAGCAAAGGTGGCTGAATACAAATGCACGCCACACTTTTCAGATATGCACTTGTAAAAAAGTTTGGAATCCATTTATCATTTCCCTTCCACTTCACAAATATGTGCCGCTATGTGCTGGTCTATCACATACAGTTGTGACCAAAATTATTCAACCCCCAATGCTGTAAAAAGGGGGGGTTTAGGGACTATAGTGTACATTTGGAATTGTATTCAGAATCAAATCCTACAAGGACGTTGTAACTACCCAAATGCAACTAAAATGACATCAATTGTTTATGTAATACAGTAGTAAATGGTTCTTATGTGGTTTCTTCATTGCCACAATTATTCAACCCCTTAAAGACTACCACTCTGAAGAACAGAGGTTCATACAGGTGCTTTCCATCAGGTATTGAAAACACCTGTGGATGTCACCGAGCAGCAATCAAGCATAGCATCATAAGCACCAATTAGGCAGCTTTAAAATGACTGTGATACTCAGCTCCTTCTAGACATTTACTGGTGTGGTTACAAACATGGTGAAGGCAAGAGAATGGTCCAGGAAGACAAGAGAAGAGGTGATTTCTCTTCACAGGAAGGGCAATGGCTATAAGAAGATTGCAAAGATGTTAAACATACCAAGAGACACCTTAGGAAGCATCATTCGCAAATTCAAGGCAAAGGGCACTGTTGAAACGCTACCTGGTCGTGGCAGAAAGAAGATGCTGACTTCGACTGCTGTGCGCTACCTGAAGCGTAGAGTGGAGAGAAGTCCCCGTGTGACTGCTGAGGAACTGAGAAAAGATTTGTCAGATGTGGGTACAGAAGTTTCAGCCCAGACAATAAGACGCACACTGCGTAATGAAGGCCTCCGTGCCAGAACTCCCAGGCGTACCCCCTTGCTGTCTCCAAAGAATAAGAAGAGTCGACTGCAGTATGCCAAAAGCCATGTGGACAAACATAGTTTTTTCCCACAAAAGTTGTGGGATAGTGTTCTGTGGACTGATGAAACAAAATTAGAACTGTTTGGGCCCATGGATCAACGCTATGTTTGGAGGAGGAAGAACAAGGCCTATGATGAAAAGAACACCTTGCCTACTGTGAAGCATGGTGGAGGGTCAATCATGCTT